AAAAAAAAAAAAAAAAAAAGAATCTAAGGTACAACAACCTTGTAAACATCCAAAAATACAAGGTTATTTCTTTAATAAACTCAGTGCGAAGTATAAAATAGAAAATAGCCCAAAAAATAATAAGTTCCTTCTTTTTTCTTTTGTTTTTTTACATAAAACAAGATAAAAAGAAGGAAAAAAAAAACCCCCCATTTTCCTCCAAAAGAATTAAGGTTTCACGGCAATAATAATAATAATATGGAGGAAACTCAATGCGACAGAACAATTAAGATGCCGTTGCTCGTTCTTGAATGTGCTCACTTGCAAGTTGAAGTGACGCAAACTCTTGTTCGAGCGACTTGAGCTTAGCAGCATCGTCGTCCTGGATATGGGATGGGACCTTTTCTCTGTAGCGAGAATCATTAATCTTCTTCCACAGTTTCTCCTTTTGCCTGTTAAAAGAAATTCGAATGTTATCAGACCTGATAAAGTGTGGATTTCAACAGATATAAAACGACATAGTAGATCTTGTTTTGAAAAAAGATCCAAACAAGCCGGGAAAAGGATCACACACCAGCAAAAAGGATGGAAAGTAGAAAGGGAGGAGACACAAAATACCAAGATGCGGATGATAAAAAGGACAGAGGAAGCCTTTTTCCATGGTAGGATCTTTTTCGTTTTTGTTTTTTGTTTGTTGTCATTTTTTTTTTTTTTAATAAACTACCGGTAATTATTATTTTTAAACTTTAGAATTTCATGTGTGAGTGCATATGTTAAAAATTTATAGCGCAACACAAGTTGTTAAAATTACAATCCAAAATGTAAAAAATATAAACCAACAGTTACTACATTAACTACCAATAGTTAGAAAAGATAGATCCTAGCGGAAAAATTCCCCCAAAAAAAAATAATAATGGGATGTTTGAAAAAAGCAATCTTGCAATTTGGACGTTCTCAAAACTATACCTCTAAAATTGACAAATTAATCCCACTAGTTAATATATAAACTTATAATGACAATAATTAACAAATTACCGCAACTTAGAATGAAATTACAATTTTTAAGATTCTTTTCCGACTCATTTTTTTTGTTACAATATCATTTATAAGCTGCAAAAGTTAAATTTGCCAATTCACGGATCAAAATCAATTGTTAGCCCATATATTAGCCCAAAAAAGGAACCCAAAAAAAAAAAAAAAAAAAAAAAAGAATCTAAGGTACAACAACCTTGTAAACATCCAAAAATACAAGGTTATTTCTTTAATAAACTCAGTGCGAAGTATAAAATAGAAAATAGCCCAAAAAATAATAAGTTCCTTCTTTTTTCTTTTGTTTTTTTACATAAAACAAGATAAAAAGAAGGAAAAAAAAAACCCCCCATTTTCCTCCAAAAGAATTAAGGTTTCACGGCAATAATAATAATAATATGGAGGAAACTCAATGCGACAGAACAATTAAGATGCCGTTGCTCGTTCTTGAATGTGCTCACTTGCAAGTTGAAGTGACGCAAACTCTTGTTCGAGCGACTTGAGCTTAGCAGCATCGTCGTCCTGGATATGGGATGGGACCTTTTCTCTGTAGCGAGAATCATTAATCTTCTTCCACAGTTTCTCCTTTTGCCTGTTAAAAGAAATTCGAATGTTATCAGACCTGATAAAGTGTGGATTTCAACAGATATAAAACGACATAGTAGATTTTGTTTTGAAAAAAGATCTAAACAAGCCGGGAAAAGGATCATACACCAGCAAAAAGGATGGAGAGTAGAAAGGGAGGAAATACAAAATACCAAGATGCGGATGATAAAAAGGACAGAGGAAGCTTTTTTCCATGGAAAAAATTACACTACATAACGTTCTTGTAAGAGAGGAATTGAAAATATAGAATAATTTTAAAATGTTTTAAGAATTACACAACAATTATTATAATGATTTCCATGTTTTACGCTACAAATTTTACGTAGTAATTATTACGATGATTTTAAGTTTCGCTATTTCTATTTGTTAAATATGTTTTTTTTTTTTTTTTGCTATATTTAAACATGACTGGTAAATGATAAGATTATGCTATATGTTAAACTCACTCTTTTTCCATATTGTTTGAAAAATTAATAGAACAAAAAGAATAGTGGAATGAAAATGCTATATTTCTTTGCTACTAACCACAACCATGTTAAAAGTATCTATTACTTAGTTACTGAAAGTCTTTATTTTATTTTTTTTTTTTTGCCTAAACTTAAGTCTTTAGATGTTCCCTAACAAGTTCATCCCCAGATCTCGAGTGTGTGTGTGATTCTAAAATATTTTCTTCGAAAAATATCTACATTTATTTTCAAACAAAAACTTCCATACACACCACATCAGGGAGTTATTGACTCACTTTTGAACCTCGTCCATTTTTTTCCTGATCCTCTCGCGCTCTGCTTCAGCAGAAAGGGAACCTTGAACATTAAGATATACAGAAAGGTGCTCATTTACGACGGATACTACACATCCGGCTGGACCAGCATCGTTTTCACCAATTACCTGTAGGCGAGAGGGAAAAAAATCTAAACTGGACTGCTCAAAATAAGAATAGAGCTAAGCAGAATTGATATCAGTCAAGAAGCAATCCCGGTCGTCAACATATTAATATTACTTTTCTTCTCAGAAGAATAAAAGAAAAGGACATAAGAGAGAGAGAGTGTCTCGAAATAGATAAATAATTTTATACATAATATGCTGAGGATAACACTTGGTTAATAGGATTCAAATAAGGACAGAGAGAGAGAGATGTAAAAAATACGGGTTGCGAGAAAGCAGATATCACAAAAACAACTATTGATGCTAACTATGACGCCCGCATGAAACACAAGCAACCAAGGTCCCTTTCAGCATATAGCTAGTAGTACAGATAAGTAGGTCGTATGAAAATATGTATGCATGTATGCAAAAGCACACTTTAAATGTAATGCATGAAACTTACCGTCAAAGACGATAAATTGGCTAGAGTTATAATCTCCAGTTTATGCTGGTCAATAATCTCCGTGACTGGAATTTTGCGGCTTTGCACATAAGCTGGCCGTCTGAAAATTAAAATAATAAAAAGCTTGTGTAACCTTGTATCTACTTGACCAGTGACCAATTAAGATATTAAAAGAACGATAACAAGGAAACGTAGGCTACTTAAACGCTTGAGCAAAAAACAGCATTAAATGGACCCATTTACCTTTCACGGCTTTCTTTCGCAAGTGAACGCAGAGATTTTACAGCAGCCTCGATGAGATCCATCTCATACTCCACCCTTTCATTTGTCCAGCCCTGGAAGAATAAAATGTGAATAACACAATTAATTCAATTGTCTCCACAACCTTTTAAGATAGCTAACGCACTGCACATCTTCATAATTAAATACTACCACACTAGGAGTCATTAACCAGGCCCGAAGAGAGAGGAAAAAATGGCATTTAAGTCAGCCTGTCATCTTTCATAATTCAGATTTTATATATATATATATATATATATATATA